ACACAAATTAAGATATTTTTGATGAAATTCGAGAGCTTTCTGACCCTCCCATAGACAGCAACGCAACTAACACGTTCAAAGCCCTGAAAGGTAGTACGGACGTCATTAAAATAGTCCATATGACATTAGTGGTTCAACTGTAATTTCATGCGTTGTGGTAATCTTGTGAACATGTGTCGAAGACAGACAAGGAAGAGAAGAAATTGTTGAATGAAGTCGTTATTTTTGTTTTCTTTGCGCACAAAATATTCACGTAGCTTCATATAATTATGGTTGAACCACTGATGTCACATTGAAAACGATACGTGACCAAAAATTTCCTCCAGTCCAGCAGGTAGCAGAAATGTACTTTACTGCTAACCGCTATTGAAATGGCCAGATTACCACCACCTACTGGAGTGTGAAGCATTTTTTATCCCCTGGCAGATGTTAAAAGGGGCCAAAAATGTTGTAGACTCGCACTTAATGATCATTTTTTCTTCAGATTTCTTGGTTAATATTGAAGAATAGCAGCTGCAAGAAAACTATCTTGGGTCTTCTTGTGTTAAATACAATTTTGTGGGTTTATAATGAAATTTGATACTTCTGCAGACATATGCGCGCGCGCGCACACACATACACACATTCAATCCCTCACACCTAGTGCCAATCCAGAATGGCCTTGAATGCTGCAATAAAGATCATTTCACAGCGATGTCTTCTTCCCACAAACCAAGATTCCCCTGCTTCTGTGATGTAAGCCTGTAAATCCCTGGTGCCTGAGGGCTTCATTGACAACCAAAAGCATATGTGGAATGCATATGTGAAGATCTAAATGGACTTTTCCCTGACAAAATGTGCATTTCTGTTCCAAATAGACTAATTCAGTCTATTGTTAAGATGTATATAGATGCAGTCAATTTGACCCAAACAACCGCTGTTGGTCTTATTTCGGCTACCAACTGTGGGAGTCACTAATATTGTATTTGAACCATATGTGAAGAAGGATTAGGTCTTCAGAGGTTACATTCACCTTTATATTTGCTTTCGCACATCTGCGCTGAATACACTCTCATCTGACACATCGTACTCTGATATGTCTGTTTAAAAGATGTTTTCCATTTATATGCCGTATTCCCATTTGATACAGGGTCTTATTCTGTCACCCTCACATTTCTCACTCATTTTATGTTTTCCCCACATTTCTTCTCTCCCTCCTGCTCCGTCTCCCATTCCCTCTGTACTTTGCCAATGTAAATGGAAAGCAGAGCGTTCGATGACAGCGGAGGATTTGTTGTTCAGCACGGAGCTGCTGGCACTGATCTGTTGCTGAGAGGGAGTGCAATGGGCTGGGGCAGTTCTCAGTCTCAGATACCCTTGTGTTTATTGCATTAGATGTGAGTAAGTGGTAATCTCTTCTATCGGAGCGTGGTCTCACAGTCAGCCTGGCTCCAGATTCAGCCGCCATGCCCACTAAAACCCAACGTGTTGGATCTGATATGGGCCTCCTGTTTTCCCCTGTAAACTCATTGCTCTGTGGTCTAAAACCTGGGTGGAGTGAGGGAAATGAAAGGGACAGAAGTTTGTATTTTTTAACACATTTATGACTCAAGTATGTAAACTAAATCTTGATGGTTGACCAGTCATCCGACAACTGACTAGTTAATTAGTGAGGTTAACCTAGGTCAGGGGTAGGCAAGTTCGGTCCTAGAGAGCCGCAGTCCTGCAGAGTTCAGCTCCAACCCAGAACTCCACAGAGGGCCACGACATCCAGGCCTACCTGCAAGATATCGAGTTTCATCTGGAAATGAGACCTCATGTGACTGACAGAGACAGGTTATACCTCCTTAGAGCCACGTCCAGTCCTGAGGTACGAAACTTCCTAAATCGACAGCACAGTCAAACAAAGTCAAACTACCAGCTACTTCGTGAGGTCCTGATTAAAGAGTTTACAGACCCTGAGTCTGAACATGGATTGTTAACTGCCTTGGAGATCAAACATGGTCGACAAGAGGTTCCTCAAGCTTACTACAACCGACTCCGACAAGCCTACTTTGGTGCACACCATGAACCTGACCTTGAAGAGGATGTGAACTTCAAAAGCCTCTTTCTAAGAAATCTGCACCCTGGAGTCAGCCACCATCTAGGCGTCATGGCCTGTCCACGCTCCATGACCATCCAACAGTGTTTGATTAGGGTTGGAGCTGAACTCTGCAGGACTGCGGCTCTCTAGGACCGAACTTGCCTACCCCTGACCTAGGTTTTTCTTAAATAGGTCATTTTTTTTAAATAATACAAATAATATATATATATATATATATATGTATGTATATACATATATATTTCACACTGTTTTTGAGCAGTGTTTTATAAATGTGTCCCATGACCTCTGCTTTTTGTTTCTGATCAGTTAACTATTTTTGGGTGCATGGGTCTTATGTGAACACCCCCTAAAAACCTAAAGAGTCAGGTGAACCCGAAAACGCAGACTCAATTTTGTGCGCTGTTGGGTTCCGAAATGTGTCTGACTTGGACTAAGTTGATTTACTTGGACTTAATGTAATGAAAGTACACAATATGTTGCTTACTCAAGGTTGCCACAAGTGGCACTATAGTGAATGTTTTCATAAACTGTCTTCTTAAGTCAGTTTTTTTTTTCTTTCAGATCAAAAATACTTTGAAGAGATTCTCATGAGGCAAACTAGTTATAAACTGGTTAATTGCTAGCTATGCGAATAATAACACATCTGGTTTAAAGCTGAAGTGTGTGTTGCACCACTAGCATCACCAAACAAAATCGCAAAAAGACAAACAAACTGTTTTCAAACTAATTTTCAAAACAGTCTGTCATTGGTTGGTTACACAGATAACTCCGCCCCAAAGCGATGCCATTGGTTGTTGCTATGTCTGGCAGGTCAGGAATTTCAAACAAACAAACAATGTTTTGATAGTGCATGTTTTTATGCTTTGGGGGGAATCAACCAATGAATTTGGTGGCTTAGTTTGGTTTGTTACTGCCCCAACAGTATGAGTTCACGTAAAGTTTTTGCAAAGTACACTTGCAGTGCATGGACCATGCATTAATAACTTTTTATGCATATAAAGTGCTTTTCTGACCAAAGCCACTACACATTCATATACTGTGTCTGTCTGCAAGTAATTTTATTACTCTAAGTGTTACATGAGGAGTGAGAGAGACAGAAAGACCCAAGAGACAGGGTGTGGAGCAGCTCACATCTGTGTGTGTGTGTGTGTTTGTGTGTGTGTGTGTATGTGTGTGTGTGTGTGTGTGTGTGTGTGTGTGTGTGTGTGTGTGTGTGTGTGTGTGTGTGTGTGTGTGTGTGTGTGTGTGTGTGTGTGTGTGTGTGTGTGTGTGTGTGTGTGTGTGTGTGTGTGAGCGTTTTTGTGACAAATGAGGACATAAATTTGTATAATGACAATTTTCAGGACATTACCCCATGTCCCTACTTTTCAAAACGCTTATAAATCACACAGAATGGAGTGTATTGAAAATCTGAAATAGCACAAAGTTTCCTGTAAGGG